TAATAGTCAAATATATTATCTTATCACAAATTCTATGCAATGGCTCCATATTTGTGTCTTGTATCATATTTCTATTTTAGTGATATTTCTACTTGTATCATTTTTTATCATACACTTTTATTATTACATCTTTATTTATTTTTATCAAAGACTAATTCACCAATGTATTTAGTGTTATTTCTACATCATCTTGAAATATCTTTCTTTCAACATGCCTTACAAATACACATCATTCCAAAAGATCTAACATATGTCCAAGAACATATTTTCAATATATTCCAAATCTTGTGGTCACTATTCTTGTCATCTCTATCTAATTTTGTTCTCTTCTTTAATCTTTGAGAATCTTGCTTCTAATATTTCAACCTCTTTTTTCTCTCTTGAATATACATCCATGACTTTTAAACTCAATAGTAGTACATTAATTATTATAATTTAAGATTAAAAATCTATAAAATATATTTTGTATTATAAATAAATAAATATATGTAAAATAAATATTGAAGAAATTTATGAAAAAAAATGATATTTATTTTAGTAATAACCTACTAATTGAGACTTACACTCTTTGATGAGCTTAATTAATGCATCACAATTTGAAGGTAAGTATGGTTTTCAAATCTTTCCAAACTTTGTAATATCTCACACTTCTTACAATTCTTAAATAGATCTATTTTAGAAAGAGTCTTAAAATATGCCATTGCATACAAACACACGTTTTTTTTAAAGGAGAATATTTTTATTGTTTGATATATATTCTTCAATACTTTAGGAGCAATATAAGATGTACTACCATGAATATATATATATATATATATATATATATATATATATATTTAAAATTTTTGATTGCTACTAATTTCAATCTTAGATATTTCAAAATGAATCACTTTTACAATAGTATATTAAATAATCTCATTCATGACTTTATTTTCAATAACATTGAATAAAATATTTTCTAGATTCAATTTATAATATGCAATGTGTATGTCATGCAAGTAACACATCCTTTTTTGGAATTTGATACATAATATTAATAAAAAGTATATAAAATATCTCTCTATTTATTTCTAACATGTTCCTTAATGTTGCTTGTATCTATTCCATCTCCAAATATACATAATCATTCTTTCTTTTAGGTACCCAATATCTACCACTTTCATTTGCAATACCTTTCATTGTATTATTATTACATTTACAAGTTGGAATGTCTTAAACTTGCTAAGATTTTCACTTCTTTGATGAAAGACTTATCATAAATAATTATACATTTTTAGTTGTACAAAAGTCCAAACCTTCTTGATTTATATACTTCTCTATAAGATTCTTTGCCTAAGAATTTTATAAATTCAACACTTCTTATATATAATGATAATTCTAACTTTTTTACATTAGTTCTAAAAGTTTCAACTTTGGAGAGAAAAAGCAAATACATACCAACACTATAGCTTATTGATGTAATTGGGTCCAAATTCAAAAAATTTCATTCATCCAATAACAATATGCGATTTTTATTAAAAAATGACTAAATCTCACACCTTAAATGATTTATTGCTTTTGTGTTATTTTATTCATAAAATAAAAGAAGTTATAAATTTAAAAATAATAATTTAATTGGCATATTTAGAATATTTGAAATCATCATTCAAATTTATATTTAAAAAACCTTATATAAATATTCTTAAATATGCTAATTAATTTTATATGAAGAAAGTGTTTAAAGAAATTTCTTCAACCCTACAATACTTGCTATATAGTAAATATTATTCAACATCCATCTTATAGACTTTTTCAACCACTATTTTTATTTTTATTTAAAATGGTTTTGATTTTTAAATTTTTTTTATAGAATTTATTCCAATCCTTAGAAATGGTTTCCTAAAAATTAATTATTCATGGTTATCTAGCTAGTTATTATTCTATTTTTTTGCAAAGTAACTTAGTATTATTTAAAATCAGTTGATTTTTGATTGTAAATCAATTTATCATGCAAAATTTGTACTTATTTCATTATAGATTTCAAATTTAAAACTCTACATTAAATTAATGTAATCAATTTTTTTTTTTCAAATCATGTCTACTTTTACATTTGAAAGTATTCTTTTGTATTATAAGAAAGATTTTTTTTTTTATTTAAGTGTAATTAAGAAATAATATAGGTATTATATTATTTTATTTTAACAACTAAAAAAACTTATTTTTAGATTTAAAACGTTATAGTACGTTTTTTATATAATAAACTAAACCAAACTATTATAAAATTTTGGATTTTTATATTATATATATTTTAAAAATAAATAATAAAATAAGAAAATAATATAATTTAATATTTTAAATTACAAAGCATGAATATCTTTAATTTTATCTTTGATATTTGAAATGATAAAAAATCATCACATTTAAAAAATTTACTTTATAAAAAATATGTTTTTTTAGAAAATTACAGTAATTACTCTTTGTATTTGGTCAAATCAAATTAATTTTGGACTATCTCAGTAGAGTGAATAAAGTTCTATGAAAATCATGTTTGAATGAAACTCAAATTCTTTAAATTAGCTGTAAAATAATTTTTAATATAATGGAATATTGAGACTTGAAATTTTGTTGCATCATCAGCAAACTAATCTTTGTACTTTAAATAAAATCAAAATCTTCATGTCACTGAAAATTGCAACATAAGTAAATTTTTTAGAGAAGTCAAAATTTAGAAATTTAATGCATTTGTTTTTCAAATATACAAATATATATTATATAGTATGATAAATCATAATAGATAGATATATATAAATATGTATCAGTTTTCCTCAAAAAAAGTACGCTGTGCCACTTGTATTATTTTTAATAAAATTTTAAGTTTTTTTTTATTTTTATTTTTTTATTTCATTGTAAATTCTATACTTAAATCACTGAATTTTACTGTAAAACAATCAGAACTCATGCCATTGCAATATATGACTTTCCCAAGGGCTATGTGTAAGATTTTGAGGCTTTTTAATGCAACCAGTAAAATAAAGTTCGACACAGCTAATTTTTTTATTTTTTATTTTGTTGTCATTATAAAGAATTTGAGGGATTAAATTTTGTATCTAACCAATATAATATATAAAATGTTATCAATTGAAATTGGACAATGAAAAACGAACACAAAAAATCCTAACAAGTTGGACAACATATCCAAATGATATTGCAAATAAAATAATAATAATAATAATAATAATAAAATGGGCATTTTAAAAAAATTGGCCACATCAAATTAGCCTAGTGCTTATGTGCAAGTAGATATTAGTCATTGTTAAAAAAAATCATGTAGACGCCGCTCATTCATGTTCAAATCTTGTTGAGCATGTTAAATTTTTGTATGAAAAATGCAAGTCTTACAATTTTTTGTTTATTTGAACTTAAATTGGCTTCTTGGAAAGGAGTTTACTATAAAGACAAAATTGAAATAAATCATATACTTAAAGTATGTAGATGGTTAATAATTAAGAACCTAGATTGGTCTTAGAGTATTCATATTTGAATTGATGTAAAGTTTTGATTATTTTTAATTACTAGTTCTACAATTGGAAATCAAGACTGGTTTACTTAGTATACAATTGTTTGTTCCTTTAATTGTATGATTTACTTATAATTCAAATAAATCTAAGTCCAAGGAACATACAATTCAATGGCAAATATAGGATAATTTTTTTAAAATTAGAATAATAAAAAATTTGGTAAATTGAATATGGACAATTTTATTAATATTTAAAGCAAAGATTTATCATAAATACTAGAACCATATTCTATCTAAGCTATGATTTTTCAGTTAGTTTTTATTTATTATTTATTAATAAAAGTTCAATACTAGGCTTACCCATCCAAAAACAAGGAAAATAATTTAATTTCTCACTGATTCTCAATGGTTAGTCAAACTTTGTCATCATAAATGTAATTATTATCTAGTTTTGAATGAAGATTCATTCTCAATTAGTTTTCATGCATCCATGTAGTTGAAATCCTACAATAAATATAAAAGCAATCAAAGTGGTAATTATTTTCATCATGTATTATTCATTAGCTTTAATTCCAATATTTTTCCAAAAATGCTTCCAAGGATGTTTTAAACATTAATATTATCTTTGATAGAAAATAGATAGCTAACATTATTTGTGCATTAACTTTTAACTAATTAGAATTAAATGCTTCAATTGAAATTGTAAGATTAAATTTGAAAAGATTCAAGATATTTACAAAATTAAGCTTTTTTAAGCTCATCTTTACTTTGATAACAATTTTACCATGAGATATTTTGATTTCTTGTATTTCTCATACAATAAGCTAAATTTCTATTTAGCCATCAAATTAAAATTTTAATTATTTTATTTAATAAGATAAATTTGACATTTAAATTAATAAAATGTAAAGCGTTTAAATGAATATAAAATTACATTCTATCACAATTTAGAAGATATTTTAAAATTAGTAAATAGAATAATCATAAATAAAATATAGATTGACAAAATATTGCACATTGGTGAAAAATAAACCATGGCATATGTTTATATATATCTACTACATCATTGTTAAAACTATTATGTTTTAAAAAAACATTTCTAAATGTAATGTATACATGCATAAACACACATGCAACTCTACAACTGCACTCACTAACACCACGAATTAGGAGTAATGCAGTATATGCATAGGATGGTCATGTGTGTTGCAGGAACGTTGATAGTCACTTAATTTATTCAAGTTAATTCTAGTTATAAATACAGGTTACGTATCAGTAAGTTACTGAATCCATGATCGTGTAATTTTAGTTTAGTTTATATGGCTCTTTGATATCTTATGCATTATACGTGTTCGAGCAAATACTCTTTCATTATTCATGCTCTACGCATCCTGCCTTAGTTTAGCTTCCTTTGGATTACCAATTGTTCTGTCCACGTATGAAAAATTCTGAAAGCGTTATGCCGTATTTAATCCTAAAGAACCTCGAGACTCGGCGCTTGCAGTAGAGAAACATCCATGCCAAAGCCACAGAATCTTCTTCTGCAACTGACAACTCTGGTTGGAAAAATAGGCACCGTACTATAAGACACTCTCATTGCTCACATGTTTTTTAAAAACCCTCCTAAGAGACCTATTTCATGCCCCAGGCAACGTTCCACTGTGTTTCGCTATAACCTCATGATTGTAGAGACGAGGTTGACAAACATTACACCTACAAAAGAGTGCCTGCCTATATTAAGCTGCACAACATGGAAATATCATACTGGCAGTGACCTAGCACTGTTTGCGTCTCGAGTAAACCCTCTATGTCAGCGCTGCTCTACTAAACCCAGTGGCTGGTGAGAAAGGATCACTTAACAGCCCAAGGGAAAACCCTAAAGATTCATCTACAAACTGAAGCAATTGTTAAATGTACTTGCCGAGCATGCATGGCCACATAACATGGCCCAAGGGCTTGCTTGTCCAGCCAAGTACTGGAATACACTGTAAGAGAAAGACAACCCCGTCATCTTAAGATAATGCGAAGCATGCCAGCTTGGGGCTCTGTGAATTGTAGATGCTCCTCCTCGAGCAAATATTTTTGCACAGCTGCTGGTAACCGAGATGGTGTTCGCGAGCCCTTTGTGTGGTGCCCAGTACCCACACAGATGAATACAGTTTCTCGTTGCCTGGTATTTCTTGTGTTATACCTCAACTGCGCAATCTCACGTTTCAGGAATGGAATTGCTTCACTCACATGCAGGCCGTGTAAGTCAATCAGACGTTGCCCTGGGGAGTTGGCATAAGTATTTGAATTCCTGTGCCCACAAGCCAATACCATAATTATGAGCCTTGACCACAGGAGACGCACCCTCCTCTAAAAAGAGCGCATAAAATGCAAAATGATTAGGTGTGAAATAGTTTCCCTTTCAATGCTTCATGATGTGCTAAAATAACGAGAAGAAGAACACACAATCCAAAAAGCATCAAGGCAATATCCAGAACCTTTGCCAGAAGATAGCCTCCCCAGCTTTACTGTGGGCAGCTTTCATTTGCTCATTGTGCCACTGTCCTTTAGCACCCAAATCCTTCGCCAAAGCTTTGTTTCCTGTGAGATAAGCCTGCCTTGCCTGTTTGAAACAATCATATTCCACAACCTTAGGGCACCGATTCCCAAGACGTTACCGAAGACGACGAAAAACTCTGACTACACGAGAGTTGCGAATGGGTTTTAGTGGACTTGATAACTTGTGATGCTTACAAGAGAAGAATGAAAAGGATAGAAAACCAGTGCTGCACACAACTGGTTCGTAGAATCTACCACTACGCATGATATGAAGGACAAGCAATGTAAATTAGAAGATATTTGTCCATAATTAGCTGCAAAAGTGAGGATGCAGAAGGACTTGTCTATTTAACAACTATGGAAGTTTGCATATGCAATGACATGCGTAATCGCGAAATAACCTTCTGAGCGGCAAAATTCAACACGATACAAATATCTCAGCAACATTCTGAAAAACGCAACTAACAACCTCAAATTGAAGTATCAAACGATGGTTGAGCTGGTCTGTACGTCTCAAACGATGGAACCTGACTGCACTAACTTACAAGGTAGTAATCGAACACCAGATTTCTCCTACAAACCCTCATTAATCCCTCTTTAAGGTACAAAGTACACACCTGATCAAAATAAGCATTTCGAACACGTGCGTGATCCCGAGCTTCTTCCCTCATGTCTGAGTACATATTCGCTGCAACACACTCAAGGGATTAGTAATAGAACTTTTAAAACACTTAACACGTGAAGTACAAGGATAACAAACTCTTAAGAATTATTAGAAAATAAGATTTCTAAGAAAACTCACCAACAGAGTCTCCTGTCTCCAGCCAAGCTACGGGAGAGTGTACTTCATGCCCATGCATGTGAAAAGCCTCCAATCTTTCATTGTGAGAAACTCTTGGTTCCCTCGAATATCTACCAACTCCTGGACCTTGAGATAGACCCCGTTGAGCACCCATGGATAGATCCACTCCGCCATTCCTCTCAAACTGTAACTGAACAGCTTGTTGCGCTGCTTGCTTTCTCACAGCTGCAGCAAAATCGGGGACAGACCTAGACTCTCCCAGAGATGCTCTTCCAGAAATCTTCTCATGTCCTGCTAAAGCTGGAAAATCTCGTGGTGAAGGAGGTGTAGGTGCAGGTGTAGGTGAAGGCTGGAATTGCTTTGTCGAGGCACCTTCGTTTTGCAACTGCAGAATGCATGAGTTTAACACAGATCAGTGAAGTCAAGGCATAAACTGTAAGAAAATTCCAAGCACAAAGTTTGCCGAGGCCATATCAGCAGGACACAACACACGAGTAAGAACCAGAATAAAACAGGCATACCATAATTTTTCTCAGACCCACCACGATATCCGCTATCCTTGTCATTTAGAAACAGATCAAGCTCATCAGAGTAAATAAGTATGTTCCGTACCTCAAGCTCCGTAAGCATGTCCACTGTAAGAGCTAAATCCCCCCCATTGGCATAGTAAATCTCGGCAAGACTATCAGAGGCAAACCCAGGAAACTCGGTAGCAAGAACAGTAACTGGATCGATAACCTGAGTTAAGTCTTCTGGAAACGTAAGATCTGAACCACCCCACTCAGTGAATGCGCTTACGGTTTCGTTGTTATCAGTCCAAGCAGGCTGCCTATCACGACTCACCTGCTGAACCGGAGACCGTAGCTCTGGCATGTATGGCCTCACAAAGCCAGGTCCCATGGAAGAGGTTGAGCCCTCCGCACCATTGTAACGAGCGGTGCCTGCTCCAGAAGAGCTGGAGCTGTAGGTAGGCACTCTGGCCAAATTCTGATTAACTCTACTATCGAAAGTAAAATGCTCTCCTTGAGCTACACTCCCAACACCACCAGCCCAGCTAGTGGGAAGGACACTCCGACCAGGGACCTCGAGAGAAACAGGCTCTTCATAGTCTGTACTCTCCACGTAATCCCCAAAATCAAAATCAGGCATGAGATCGTCTGGAAGCTGTGCACGACATAATCTCCTATACTCATCGTCTGAAGCATTTGAATTGGTTGAATTTGTTCTATCCAGTCTTGAACCTACAGTCTCTCTCTCCCCACTAACTGCTAAAGTAGAAGATTTCTGTGCGTCCCACGCTTGTCCCGTGCTTCCAGGTGAGGTAGCGTTGTATGCCTTGGGTACAAACTCTGCAGCATGGGGATTGAGATTCGTCCGTGCTGGGGTAAGAGAAGAAGTAGATGTCGACTGTGGTGGATTGGACTGGCTTTGTGAGGATGACAAAGTGAGACTCTGATTGCTAGAATATCCAGGCGCATCATTGATCCCAGATGTACTCTGATCTCCCACAGCAATAGATAGGCTTGACATACTGGCAGCGATACCTTCGCCACCAGACGGTCCTAACCCATTGCTTGTCGATTCCATTTTATGAGGCTCACGAAACTCTCTTCCATTATACCCCATAGCGAAAAGCCTTGCAGATCTTCCCTTAGAACGTTAGCACCTTAAACGTGCTGAAGGTTCAAGTTAACTGTCTGCAAGCCCAGAATTGCGTTTCTCAGCCACGAAGAGAGTAATGAATTGGTGCTACACAAAAAAATTCCCGCCAAAAAGCCGTGGGATGTTAGCAGCTCCTCGGAAGAACAGTCCTACAAGAACACAAAGTGAAGAGGACATTTAAAGGATTCGCTCAAAAAACTAGAAACAATCGAAGGATCTAACCTGAAAGAACAGCAAGTTGAGAACTAGGACTCTAAGGACGTATTCAAAAAACGGTTAAGAGCTTTGGCATTCAAAGTTGCAACATACAAATACCAAATCGAACACAAGAGTTCTACGAGCAAGAAGATTCGCCACTGTTTTGCTATGAAAAACAATCAAACTAGGAAAAACTTCGAGAACGCGAAGTTAATGCGGGTTCTAGTGCGTCGGAGCACACACTGATCAAAGTTCATCCGAAACGCACAAAAAGTCGAAAATTGAAGACGACGATTCATAAACTTTTGGATTAGAACCGGAAATGCTCAAAAAGTTCAGCTTATGACTAATCTCTTCCCAAATAGATCTCCGAAACCATCAGAAACCCTAACTAAGACAATATGCTCCTTTCGAGTTCAGAAGTCAACTTTAAAGTAGCAAGCCCGCAGATTAGCAGCTTGATACTACAAGCCCCGAAACAAGGGTAAGAGTCATTCTCTGACCCTAAAAGGAAGCTCAAATTTCTGTCCTTAAGCACATCCACACCTCGCAGAAACCGAAATACAGCTAGCACACTACCGGCAACCCCGAGGAATATCACCGCCATTTTACCCTCATATTAATCCTTAGCCTCCAATTCCACTCTCAACATACACACGTAAGCACAAACCACACTACTGCGGCAGAAACATTTCACACACTCGAATACACCAAGATGTGACAACAACAACAACAACAACAACAGAAAAAATACAGCATCCAAAAACAAAAAAAAAAAAAAAAAAAAAAAAAAAAAAAAAAACCAGGAAACCTCAGTGCCGTCCCACAACAAAAGCGAGAAACACCGCCACAATTAACTCCGCACACACAGGCACAAACACACACACAAGGGAGTCTTCAAGCAACGCATTGCCAGCGATGCAAGCACCGAAAGATCGAATGCGAAGAAACGGGCCATAAAGGAAGAATCCCTAGTACCGAAGGGAAGGGGGGGAAAAAATTCCTGTTCTAGTACGGTTTACCTTATCTGCAAGGCGGCCCTTCATGTGAATGTGAGCGTAAAAATATTGCCCCGCTGCGAAAAACAAGTAGCGTTATCGCAATCAATCTAAACTTATCTTAAGCGAGAAGAAGTCCGTTGCCACAACCTGAACACAATCACAACACAGACACTCTCACACACACACACACACACAATCTCTCTCTCACTTCCTTTGCTTATGCTTCCCCCTTTCCCCTGCGACGAGGAGGAGTCTTGCTTCTCTGGCCCGAAACGGGGAACATGGCCCAGTCGTCGGAGGCTTGGCCTTTATGCCCGGGAACGGAGCCGGGAACGCGCCAGGGAACCGAGATCCCGGTTCCCTCGGGCGTGCGCCGGGTCCGCTGCTTTATGTCGCAGGAGTGGAGTATCTTGAGGGCCACATGACGGAAGGGTGGGGCCCACCCCTCCCACCCGCGCTGCTGGCCCTCGCACCCACTCCCACCCCACTCCCCCCGTCCCGTCTTGTACACATGTCGTCATTCCACGACCTCTGGGAAAAGTCTCTCTCTACTCGTGGCTTACTAGTGAATTTTCTGGTGCTTGCTTCCCTTGGTGGTGTCCATTTCATCACCCCTTATTCCCTGCGTATTCTCTGTGTGTATTCGTATGTGTATTCGTGTATATTTTTTGTAGGACGTCACGTATAATTGGGCCTTTGGAACTAAGCCTGCTCTTGTAATGACCTAATTTCATGGACTTTACTTCAACTTCAACTCCAGTCAATGTCTTTTGACCTCTTGCAAACTGCAGTAGATAAATCATACCATTTTCTTTGTGTTTTATCTTTTTTATTGTGTGATTATTTCCTTTGTTTATTTTTCTCTACTTTGTAAGTGCCTTCTTTGGTCCTACATAGTGAACCTTTTATAGCAAAATCCAATACTCAAATAGATAAGAAATCAATTTGGATATAATAATTTTTGAATATCATTCTTTGAATATATATATATATATATATATTCATACATATAAAATCATATCATTTATTTATTTCAAATTATAAATACATTGAAAAAAATCTATATTTTGGATTCATCTATTATATAAGATAGTTTGCATATAAAATAAAGAAACAAAAAAGCCATTTGATAGCTTTTGAGAAAGAAACTTTAGGAAGTTGGAGAACTTAGAGAATGCAAAGTAGTTGGAACTCTAAGTATCTCCAAGAACCAAGTTGTTAGGACCCAATAACAATTTTTTTCACTTGCTAGATTGATCAAGGCCCAAATGCAAGGTATTGTGCTTGCCACTTTTTGCATCCACCATTCCTGTCTATTTTGAATTGGAATCCATCAATTTTTCTTTCTTGCAAGATCTAAAGCCAACTTTGCATTGTATTTGGAAATATAATAAAGTTATAGGAATTGAAGAGCCAAAGATGATTTGTAAAAAAGAAAGAAGTATAGGATTTAAAGCAATTGGTGTAGATCAAACAATAAATGTTGTCAATTGAAGGTTGGGTGGTTACAATGTATTGGTGGTTCAATAAAGAAGAGGTTGATTATGGATGTAAAGTAGAGGTTGTGAATTTTTGGTGCATGTATTATTTTATTTTAAATTTTAAATTTAGTAGTGGTAGTATAGTAATGGTGGTGGTGGTGGTAATATATATATATTTTTTTATTTTATTTTTATCTATTTTATTGATACATATGAATATTATCAATTTTTATGAGATTTATCTTCATTGAGACTTATTCTATTGTTTTGTGGCTTAAAATTGGTTTTGGTGGATAGATTGGTAATCAAATTGTTTTAAAGCTGATACTTGTAGAGTTCTTCTCTTTGAGTTATTAGCATTGCAAGCTTGAATCTTTCAAGTGTAAAATACTTACTTTATATGTATATTCCTTGAGATAATCTAAGAGCCATCTATGAGTTGCTACTACTATTGATAAGATATGGTTCTATGATCTAGTTTTTTTTTTTTTTTTTTTTATTATATGTTATTTACTTCTTTTGGTATCTATTTTAGACTCTCTCTTGCAGTTGTTGTAAATCAATGTATCTTTCAAATTATCAATGTTAGCAAAAACTTAATTTCTATTATAATTGATATCAATTGTGTATTTATACAAAGTAGTTAATCAATAAAGTAGTATGCTTCATTGACTAATAGTCCATATTATAATGCTTTGATTTTTGATTTCAAAAGATCTAGCTTATATTTTATACTATTTTGATAGAAAAATTAATAATCACAATGATTTTAGAAATGATATTTGCAAAGTTCCTTCCTTCAAGTCTTTTATATAATAAGCTCTAATTTTTGCAAATAGTTATGTATGTTGCTTGATAATTTTTTTTATAAAGATAAGTTTCTTAATAACACATGTTTCATGGATATACATATATATTTTAATAAATACCTATATGATTAAGTAGAAGTAGATAAAAATAAATAAAAATAGGTTAATTTCATAATACCTTCTAGAAAAGCTTCCTAGAAGCTTCATAGATATTACTTTGACTTTACATATGTTTGTAGTTGATTATTAGGTAAGAAACTTGATCAACTACTTAACCACATGTTGATAGTTTTTTAAAAAAGCTAACTTTGTGGCATACATTTAAAAAACTTACTTTACAAGTTCAGATATGTATCTTGCAAATTTAACATGTTTTGGAAGTCGTACATGGTATTGCCACATAGCTCTTAGTTAAGAGTATATATAGAAGCAAGAGTGAAGCCTTCTTCACTCTTATCAATGCTTTTTTAGTTTTTAGTCTTATTTCAAGATTTTTTAGTCTTCTTATTTTTAGCAATAGCCATTTTAATTCAATACTATATCATCTTTGAGTGACTTTCTAGTTCTTTTTAGTGATACAAGAATGTATTGAAGATTTCTTTCTTCAAGATTTGTATCCTTGATAGTTTGACAAAATTACTAATTTATTGTTTCTATCTTATTTTAAAAGTGAGTAGATTATTTTACTTCTATTATTATATTTTGAAGGTCACAAATTCTTCACTTTTAAATAAAAAATCTTATTTTTTTAACACAATTTTTTTCTTAAAGAAAGTAGATTATCCCTCTTTATGGAAATTTTTATTTGATATTAGAGGTTATAAATTATCTTCTTTTAATTTAATTTTTTGAATTTTTTTGAATTATCTATGGAAGAAAAATTATGGATGCTACTCTCAAAAGAAGTAAGAGTAGATTTGTAACTATTGCAAATCTTCATGAGCTTGTCAATATTCTAAGAGTAGAAATTTCATGTATTTCCAACATGAATCATAGAGATACTATTCCTGTGCCTAGAAAAAAAGTTCAGAGTTTGTATTAAGAAGTTGTTTACTTGAAGAAAGTAAATAGATTAATCTCACAACCAAATCTAGGGAGTTTTCTTTCGATAAGTATGGTAGAGACAAGGATTAGTATGCTTGAGAAGTTTGATAGAATAAGATCAAAATTTTGAAGATTTCTACAACAAATCAAATTCTATTTAAAATTACATTCCTTCCAATATCCTGATGGATTTACTCAAGTCAGATTCATAAGTGCACTTCTATCAAGAGGAGTTCTTTTTTTTTATTTTCACTTTTAATAGAAAAGGATTTTTAACTCTTTCATGATTTGAATTCATTCTTAGAAGTGTTTATGGCCATATTTGGAGAAAGTGATCGAGAATGAGTAGCAAAGACCAAGCTCTTATCTTTATGGCAAAGATAATGGTCAACCACTATACATGTTGCTAAATTCCAAAACCTAGCTTATAACATGGACTAGATTGACAAAGTCCTTATCAATCAATTTCAATATCGATTGAAGAATAATGTCAAAGATTTGTTATTGACAATATCGAAGGGAGAATCTTTAAAATAATTTATTGCTTAAGCCATTGCATATAATAATCAATTACTTGAAAGACATTTAGAATAAAGACTTGTTTGATGAAGAATTAGTTAGATAATGACAAAAATTTGTAAATTTTCAAAAACTTATTCATCAAGACAAGAACCAATGTAAATTAAAAGGATGAGCTTTAAATTCTTCATGGAGCAGGAAAAGTCTTAACAATGTTAAGAGAGCTTATGCTTATATTATAGAGAATCTAAACATACTACTCAATATTATCCAAAAAACAACACAACTACAAAATGAGAAGCATGGTTACTAAAAAAGACGATGTATCAAAAAATGAGTTTTTCCAACTACTATAGGGACCCTATGGCTAGAATCTTGCATAATTTTTAATAAAGATCTTATTTTCTTCTTAAATCCCTCACATTACTTTATAATAGAAGTTTATTTTAGGACCAAAAAATCACAAAATCTTAACTTTGTTAGATTTAGGAGCTTTAGTCTATTTTATAGACAAAGATTTTATCAAAAAATAAAAAATATTGTTAATTAAGAAAATTAAATACATACATGTAGAAGTCATAGACAATCATTTGTTATCTTCTAGAAATATTACACATGAGATTCTTTCTTTAGATGTAGCAATTAAAGATCATAATAGCATAGTAATATTTAATATAATAAGATCTTTGTCCAATTCGATTATTTTAGGATTATCTTGGTTAAAAAAGTATAATCCTCAAATAGATTAAATTTCTTGTAATTTTAATTTTTTTGATAGTTTAATCCAAAATCTCATTAATCAAATAAAAATTTATAAGTCTAGTACATTCAAATCCTTATTAGTAGATGCAAGAGCTTTCATGTGTGTCACAAAAAAAGATTTTTTTTTTTTTTATATATATATGCCACACCTATCTCTGATGGTGGAAAGATGTTAAGTAGTATTCCTAGCCAATATTAAGATTTCTAGGATGTTTTTGAAAAGAAGAATGGAAATATTCTTCCAAAACATTGTCCTTGTGATTGTTCCATTGATCTTCAGAACGGAACTCAATTACCATTTGGATCAATTTATAGACTATTACAAAATGAGTTGGTTACATTCAAAGAATACATTTGTAATAGGATATAGATTAGATATTTGTATAAGGATAGATAGTTAGAATCATGGAAGTTTTTAGAATTGAGGTTAGGTTAGTGGATCAGATAGAACCCATTGTGAAACATTCTAAAAAGAATTTAGGGTAGTTATTTAGATAAGGACCTACCATGAAATCTTGTAAAAAAAGCTTATGGTGGTTATGTGTATAGAATCTACTATAGAGCTTTTTAGAAAAGATTTAAGGCAATTATCTAGGTGAGGCCTACCATAGAACCTTCTAGAAGGAGTTTAAGGTAGTTATCTAAGTGGAATCTATCACCTAAGAACAT